TATGTTCACTAAAGACTGAGATTTTATAAACCATTCCATATCTTGTGTAAATTATTTATACTACAGAATTCACGTAGATATAAATTATTTAGCTTAGGATAAAATTTACTCTTTTTCTCTGAATGTGGTTTTTCTCAATACAGGTTTCCATTAAAAGACAGCTATTTCGCTACCTATCAAGGGCACCTTTACCAGAAAAAAGCAAATTGATATTGGTCAATATTTAATTCCACTAAAGTCATCCAATCTCTCACCAGGATCATACCCAGAAACAAAAATCAATAATGGCAACATTGATTGACGGCAAAGAATTAGCAAAGTAGGCGATCGAAGAAACAAATTTTGTAGTAGTTATGTATTTCAGCAGCCATCGCTAATATATCCAAGATCTATTCGCGAGAAATTAAAGCAAGAAATTATAGATCTTGCACAGAAATATCCCGGCTTCAGACCGCATCTTGCCATTGTTCAAGTCGGATTAAGAGAAGATTTTACTGTTTATGTGAAACAAAAGGAAAGAGCTGCAAATGAAGTAAGAAGTTCTTGCTCTTTTCAGTTTGAAGGTCTTTTTATTAAAATAACCAACTTTACGCCCTCTGGTAGATCGGGATTGAAATTACGTTACATAAGAAAGACTGAATAAAAGTTCCTCGCGATAGTTACATAAGAAGACAGCACTATTAGTCAGAACGAGGTACTAACTTGAAATTTTGTTGCTTTTAGTTGCTCAATGCACTGATTTAGCCAGACAACTTCATTCCATGAACTTTTAGCTCTTGGATGCCGTGAATGAACTAAATAAATAATCCATCAGACATGGACTTTTAGTCAACTTCCATTATCAGAGCATATAGATGAAAAAGTAATTACAGAAGCAGTGGATCCAAAGATGGGTAGGCAATATTAGTAGTGATATTGTATTTTAATCAAGTATGTGCTAGTAACATATTGTTGACAAAAAAATTCATCAATTGTGTTTGCCTCATTAGTTTCCATGTATATAATATAGGGAATCTTGCTAAACGCCACAATA